AATCCATTTTCACATACAACATTTCCACGATTCATGCTAGGATCATTTTGCAAATTATTAGAAGAAATAACTTCACACAATACATTCAATTGCTCATGTATTCTACCAAAGTGAGAAGCTAATTCATCTATTCTTTCCTCAATCCTATCAAAACGGTCGGAAGTTGCATTTGCTAGCTTTTCTAAAGCTAACTCCCAAGATGGCTTAGAATCATTAGCTACTCTTTCTATTGCCAACTCCCAAAATGGTTTTGATTCATATTGGACACATTCAGGTTGGTGATCATAAAAATATGAATTATCACTATAAGTACATTGATTATTCCAACCATAAGCAGGAGAATTGCTCCAATTAGCACTATATTGATCAAAACAAGGATTGTAATGCTCTAATTCATCATAATAATCCACATTTTGTGCTTGCATACATGTATTAATAGCATGATAACCTCCACACAAGTCACAAATCACATGATAAGAATTGAAAGCATTAACATTCCTCCCTTGCTCAATTTCATGCATCATGGTGTCCATTTGAACTTGTAACTTAATTACATCAAATTTTGCCTTTAAGCACCTTAAACCATCTTCAAAAGATATACATTCAGTAAATTCTTGGTTACCTCTATTAAAGGAGCTTTGCACTTGGTAACCATCCATTACCAATCTTCCACTTCTCAAGCATTGTCCTCCAAATTGTCCTACCCTTCTCATCACCTAAAATTGCTTTTAAACAACTTAAGAGCAAAATTAGTAAGAAGAATAGGTGATAAAACACATACACATAAAAAATACTAAAATGACAGAAAATAACATTCACACAATAACTAATAAAATGTCTAAACTAATAAAGTTATTCTTCACACCGATATTGCCAAATCTTCCCCGGCAACGGCGCCAAAAACTTGACGTGCGCGGAGTATACATATACAATTAAGCTCATCCTAATCAAGTTTTACATTTATAAACTCCTAAATACCCCACACGCGATTTATCGCAAGTATACGAATCGTGAGCTAGTATAGGGTATTAAGGGTCGATCCCACAAGGAAGATTGCAATTACCGGTACTACTTAAGCTTCTCTATTATTTAGACTATCAATGAATTATAACAAATTAAAACTACTGAAATTATGCAAGAAAATAGCAAATAAAAGCTCCTTGGGTTGTGGTATCCCTAACTACTCATGCAAGTGCTATATTTGGATCATTAATTACTACATCTAGGCTAGTTATGGTGTAATTTCCTTATGCATTTGAATCCTACTTTCGTAGTGAATCAATTATACTTATAACTAATCCATACCTATTCTCATGGTTATGAAATTAGCTACAAGTTCATTTCTTCAATGAAATTACATGAAATGAATCACTAAAAACCACATAGGTGCACCTCTACTTTCGTGAGTGTACTCCCTATGTTTAGCACTTCTTGAACTAGTGTTAAATCTCAATTTTCATTGCAGAAATAACACCTTAGATAATCACAATTAATGGTACCAGATTAATCATGATTTCAAGAGCTAAAGTGCTAAATAACTTGCTCAAATCATAGCAGTTAAATAGCCAAATAATAAGCACTAACAATCATAGAAAGTTCAACCAAACCCAAGGCATAAACTTTAGAGACACATAAATAACATAAAATCCAGAACTTGCATATTAACTAAATTTGGAATCAAGTACAAAAGATAAAGAGTTGAAAAGGAATGTAACCCATGTCACTTGAGCTCATCACCTTGCCTTCTTCATCTCCATCTTAATCCTAGTCTAGCAATATACAAGAGTGGATGAATTACACTAGCTAAACTATCCTACACTAAGGAAATGGAAGAACTACATTTCTGCACTCTTCAAGCTTCTCCCGTATGTTCCTCTCTATTTTCTGCTATGGACTCCCCATCTCTCCAATCTCCTTTTTGCAATGAATTTGGCTCTTTTATGATGAAAGGTGGTCAAGAAATGAGGATTACATCTCCCTTTTACAGCTGGGAATGTTTCTCACATGTCTAGCATCCAATGTGAGTTGGTGGAGGTGAAATTGAGTTTTACGCGTACAGAGCAGCCTTTTCTGACCTGTGATCCGAGCTGCTACAGTACCTCGGATCCGTATGGATCCCTCGGATCCACTAACCCAGAAACAACCGAGGGTTCGGATGAATAGTGGATCCGAGTGTGGATCACTTGCTCTGTTTTTGGCCCAACTTCAACCAATCTTTTCTTGATGTTAGAGGCTGAACCAGCTCATGTCTAAAACACGAAAGTTGTAGCCTTTTGAGTTATCTTTCTAATGCATCAAGAATCACCTCATTTGGATCTGTGTAGGTTGAGATATGACTGAAATACCCTTGCCTGCTCATTGCCCTGTTCCAGTTTCGACCAGTAGAAATTTGCTATTGTAATTCGGCATTTTGACCTGGAAAACCTTCAAACTGGATTTAGATGTCTTCACCAAAGTTGTAGATCTATCTCTTATCTTCAAATGGGTTCAAGAATCATCCCAATCCGATCATTTTAACTCAAGTTATAGCCGAAATACGAAAATGTGTCAAAACTGTCAAAATACACAAAATCCAAGTAAAAAGTGATAAAAACCTCATTTAATCACTTAAAAGCATTTTTCACCAATTATAGCCAAAATGATTCATATTCTTCCAATAATATAACCAAAGTGACTAAAAATAATATAAAATGTCATACAATTATTACGTAAATTAGTCACTTATCAAAAAGAAACGGGGCTCAACGCTTCCAAGTAGGTTTCTTGACAGAGGAAAAACTGTAACAGGACCTCCCCAACCAAAGTCCACTGTGGAATGGCCTAAGTGTCTCCAATCAGTAATTCCACTCACCTTTGCTCCTACTGTGGTCCCTTCATGATAATTTAGCTCCTGAAAATCGATAAATGATCGAACATATTCATCAGATACATTGTATTTGCTCTTGTTGATCAATTCTGCTGTTTTATATATCGGTTGATCGACATGGTCTTCAGCCTTGGTCAGAATTCCCCAGTATCCTGCTGGTAGTGGTGGCTTGACTAGCTTTCTTATGTTGATTGCATATGCAAACTTCACTTTCTCATCAGAAGGGATCCCAGAAGCCTTAACTCTATTTCACGAATTAAAGATCAAGTCAAGGGTAGGGACGGAATCAATTTTTGTGAAAATACATTTATATGGTCATGTAATCATGAAAATCATCCTAACAAAAATTTGTAGCTTTTTGATATAACCTCCAACATCACGTGTGCTTCCAAAATCATCCTAACATTTGGATGGAAATCTCAATCTTCTAGACAATATGATAGCCTTAACAAGATTAGATAACTGAAAACAGCCTGATATGAGTTTTACAGGTATCCCAGCACTACTAAAGGAAGTTCAAAAGCTTCAAATAACATCGTCATATGTTATTCTAAGTACAATGCCATCCAGACCTGATGGCCAATATATTGTCCAATTTTGAAGACAACTATACACGTGTTCATGAGGTCTTAACGTTTTAGGCTGGAGGAAGCATTGAAAGGACAACACATTAGCTATGACATCATGGATTACAGCTACTTAAACAGAAGGGAGCCAAGGTAAATTACAGAATATTAGTATCATGTACTCAATTTGGACAAGAAAAGCATGTGGAGGTTCATTTGTTTACCAGAAACAGAGAATTTTAATCAACAAGCATGCAGGAAAATTCATTGCGATAAACAAATAGTATAAAGGAAAGCAAACTTAGTAATACGAAATCACGATGTACATAGCTGCACAAAATATCATAAGCAAACCTTAACTGTTGTTACATTGAAGTTAATTCTAGAGATAAACTTTAGTGAAGTTAACGGGAATTTACTTCCTGCCAAGAACTTGACCGATTCGAGCTTCCAATTGGACAGATTTGGGTAGTGCGATAGCCTTGTTTTTTAAACAACCTCAACAAAAGCCAATGCTTCAATGAAGAAGTATTTGCACAAACTCATCCAATGTTAAAATTTCGTCTATACATCAAAGAACTAAGATAAGCAATTTAATATTTATTTAAACAAAAAAAAAAAGTTCAAACTGTTGCAGGCCAGTAACATAAGAAATCAGAAACACCAAAAACCACTTAAGATATTCCCACGTATCCGTGGCATTAAAACAAATACAAATGTCAAGTTACTCTATAGAAGTAAAATTACATGCCTTAGAAACTAAATAAAGTTCTAAACTAACTCAGAGAACAGGGAAAAGCCTTAAGAGTAAGTCCAGAGTATAATCCTAATTGACGCTAAATTCTTCTTATGAATCCTGCATACTTGCAAAGTTAATGTTCTAGTAAATGAAATCAAGTAAAAGCGGATTCACAAGGAAAGACTATAAATGATTTACAACTAAATATCAAGTTCAAATCAGTAAACCAATAGAGTAACATGAAATAATATATCCAAGAAAAGGAAGTAACAATAAATGAGATGTTGCAATAGTTTACTTTTCACATAAACTTCTTGCGTGCTTGACTAACTCCAGTGTTGCTAGAAATATTTATCTCATTAAAGGACTAAGCAAAATCAAGTTAAAATGAACAGGAAGGCGATGCACAAAATTACCTCAAGCTAAAATATCAAAATTAGTGCAAAAGGACATTAATGGCTGAATCGAGTGAGAAAAACAGGATTCGTAAAGTCTATTAGGACAAAAAATTATTACTAATGATACTAAGAACATGAAAGCGACACAAAGATTTCGATTTAATCATCCTTACACCAATAGCATTCTTTACTGGACCTAATACACAATCAAATGAATATTACCAAAAGCCGATTTAACTGAGTAACTGAAGCTACTGAATACATAGAGAAAATACAATGACTGAAATAGATCAAAAACCTAAATGGTTTGCTATATTCCAGCATATTCAAGAGGGATGAGAGAGGAATGTAGATATTCACCGATATCTCAGAGAGGAGATTGCAGCAGAGGGTGGTAAACTTCTCAATTCCCAATAATAATCTTTTCTCTAGATATCTAAGTTGCCTTTTTCTTTTGCTGCAGGAAAGAGAGTTTAGAGTTGCAAGTTTTCTTGGAAAGAAATACATCGGTAGTCTCCTCAAAGAAACAAGATAGAAGGCTGTAGAAGATGGAAAACAGAGGCACTAAAATAAGTAAGGAATTGCTATAAGCAGGAGAGCTTGATGCTCTGTTTTAAGTTTTAACGGACTTAACAAACAAAATCAATGTCCAACATTGAAAGGCAAGGATATCCAATAGCTCCTACCAACTCAAGACTAACTCCACTATCTCATTGAAATGGTAATAAAACAGCCCCAAAATGGCTCTCATTTACACTATAACTGGACTATGTTGACTCAATTTTAAAACAAAATAGAATTGCAGGTTGGGCCATAATAAAATGAGATCAAGAGCACAAAACTGCATATGGGACATGAAAAGCGTTCTTAGGAGTACCTAGATACCGTAATGCTGCATATCAATATGTTTCCATAACTCGTGGAGAAATGGCTTTTATCAACTGTCCATTCATCCTTGCCCAATCCAAAGTGGAATAGCTGGGTAATGCAGCTCTCCCATATTATAAATGAAGTATACATCAAAGCAAGTTGAACAATAAGCATGGAATGTATAGTTAAATTCCCTCAAATTGAACTCATATGAAAAGGGTTAAATTCCTGGATAATCCCGACCCCAAAATATTTTAGGTTGTAGCAAAGATCATTTCAAAGTTTCCATTTTGAACAAAATAAAGCATAAATACCAACACATTACCTAAAAAACACAGTTCAAATTGAAATCAATGACCAAAACCAAAAGAGAGAAGATTCAATAGCATTAGCTTCACAAGGAGGAAGGCCATGGAGGTTCAGTGACACCAACATAATCAACTCGAGCCTGGGGCTGCCACATGGCACTTACAATCTACAAATTGGGTGGAATATTCAATAGAGCTTCCTCTTTCCAACCTCTCCCTCAGTACCTCTCGTCAGTTACGTCTTTCCATTGTCAAGAGTTTATTGGTATTTGTATGTATTTTAATCATGCAGAAAGAGACCTTGTAGTCAACCACCTGATTTATTAAAGGATTGAATCCAAAAAATATTGTCACAAAAGGCAATTCACTGCAATAAATAACCACTTAACTTGGGATGTAAATAAATTATGAGAAAATCATCTGTCCATGAAAAGAATTAAGAAGCAAAGTGCCTGGTTTGTACTTGAAAGACCAAAAAAGAACTGTGAGTTTTAAGTATATGAGAGCAGGCGAGAAGAAGGGTAAGTCAAAGAAAGAAGAAGAGCTGCGAATGAGAGGAGAGAATTCTGGAACATAAGTAGAAAACCGAAAATAGACCTTCAAAGTGATGTTTATAATTGCACGTGGGATACAGGTGGAGGAAAGAAATCGATGCCTATTTAACTCAAGCCCACGTCAGTGCAATCTCTATTGACCAAAAGCCCAAGAAATCAAGATTAACTTTTATGCTCAAACTTCAAGAAAATATTCTTCACATACATCAACAATGATCAGGTACTAACAATCGTAAATTTTATAGTACATCAGAGTATATGTTTGAAAATTTTGAAAACTAAATATTTGCAGCCTTTGGGTGTAGAAGATATAAACATCCAGCAACGATTTAATCTTAAATTAAGAAATTTAATTGGACCATTAAACTCATGATGCAACATCCACTTCAACTTTAGACCCTAATAAAGCAAAGCAGCCACTGAAGCTTTATACAATACCTATACAATATACAAATGAAGCAACTTAGAGCCGTTTGACCCCAAAAAAAAAAATTTGAAGCTACTCATCAAGTATATTAATTGAGGCGAGTACAATGTTTGAAAGCAGTTAAATTGTTTGGCTTAAACTGCAGTTTGCCCTACCCACTTTTATGGTTTTATCAACAGCCCCATATATAACTACGTCATCATATATCATTGTACTCGTAACTGCAATATAAGAAACTAAATTCCTTTAACCTTGGACAATTGTAAGGCAAAGTGATTGATATAAACCTGTTCAGAGATACCAAAGTGAGTCCCTTCCTTCCATTTGCCTTTCTTCCGCAAGTTTCAATTTTTCAAGAATTAACTGTTGGCAAAAAAGAAAAAAGTACAAATTGATTTATGGAAACCTACTGAAATAAAATCCACAAGAAAAAAAAGCATAAACGATTTCATTGTAGTAGAGAGAGAGAGAGAATTTTATGTAAGCAAAGAAGAGGAAGAGGAATGAGAGGGGATTAAGCTCCAAAAACCAAGTCCAACCGAATCTCACGAAACAAAAGCTGGTAACAAACATAGCAAGGGGCGGCAAGGGTGGTGGGCTGGAGTCTGGAGGAAGGAGGAAGGAGGGATGGTGACTAGGAGAAGAGAGAGATTTACCTTGATTCCTGAGTTGTGCTGCAAGGTGTAAGCAAGCGAAGGGGAGAAATTGGTCCGGTAATTAGAAGAGCAGGAAAGAAAGTGGTAATTAGAAGAGAGCAAGGATTGAAATTAAGAGCAAGAAAGAGAGAGAGAAGGCAAAGGAAGGAGTGTGCACCCGATTCAATGAGGCTGTCTGCGCCCACATGTCCCCAAGCCGCCCAAAAATCATGCAACCAACAAACACCCCCAGAGTTCATGAAAATTACGGAGTAACCAGACCATTTCAGTGTTCATCCGAGCTTACACACTTTTAGTGTGGCTATGATATGATATCTAGTCAGAATTTACCCTTTTTTGGGATGGGTGGGAAGAGGAGGTGGACTCTCTCCCTGTTTGCGTGCAAGGTTCTACATTTCTATGCTACTCTCCGAACAGATCATGACAAAGACGTTGATAGCATAAATTATGCTGCACCTTCAGATGCCCTCCAAAACAGTATCAAAACCATGGACAACACCACGAAGAAATGGAAAGTACTAAAGCAACTATAAGAAACTTCCAGTAAAGTGAAACTTTAAGTCTGTTTATAACATATTATGGCAAAAAACCACATCAATTTCTTTTTCTCAAGTTATATGTACAAACATAATCATACGACTGAGATCAACACTGTGAGGAAACGTGCTTCATCCTCTTTAAGATTTCAGTCCATTTGATCCATAGCTCCAGAAACTAAAGAATATATGTGAAGTTTGTAAAAGATATTAGCACTGAAATGGAATAGAATATGAACCAGTGTTTGGATCTTTCACAGCTTTGAAATTGTCAGCGCTCATTCCAAATTGACCAGAATTGCAATTTCCAATTTCCCTCAGCTTACCTGATCAAAAGGTAAACAATTCAACTTCGTGAGAGATATCATCATATGCAATTGAACACACATATAAACTGGAAATAATTGATACCCTAAAATACTTTCACCATCAACCGTATCCAAGTAAAGCAGACAAAGTTAAGCAGATTTTGCTGCAATTGTCCAGGGTTCAACAAAATGAACTCTCCTTGCTTGAGGTGCCAAATAGGGAAAAAGGAATAGGAGAAGCAGATATAACCCATAGAATGTAAGAATAAAGTCACAAACAATAATGTTGGCTGCCAATGAACTCAGAAAAAGTGACTCAACTGCACAAGGCGTGTTGAAAATATGCAGACAAACCAAGATCAGAAGTTCAATAAAAACATAAACAAAAGGATTGGAGTTGTTCTATCAGCATAGTATGGTTTCCAAAATCTACACCTTGGGTTCAGGAAAGTACAAGAATCTATTCTCATTTAATCATGATCTCCAAATGCAGCAAAGATAAACCATGAACAGCTTGAACAAATTCGCCCTCTACAACTTCAAGCACTGCCAGGCTATTAATAATTTGCAAATACTTCACTACAAAATGAGTCCATCACTTCAACACGCATCACAGGATATGATGACAGAAACAAATGTAGTTCATTCTTGAACTACCTCAGCTTAACTAAATGCAATTTGTTCAGGCACTAAATGTTATGAAGGAAAAGCAGACAAAAGCACGCTCAATTGCACAAGCACAGTAACACATACCATAAGAAATACCTTCACTCTAGTTCACATATATGGAAGTGCTTACATTTCCCTTAAACCATCCTTTTGCTAATCTCAGTAATCGTTTGTCCACTTCCACAAGCATCTATTCTTTAGCAGCACCTGAAGCAAAGCTTTATCTGCTCACATTAACCTTCCCCTTCCTCCAGAATCTTCCGAATGCACTAGCCACCTCAGCTCACACTAGCTCCTTTTACTTTTGCAAAAATTCCAGATCCTCTCCTCCTCCTCCACTCTTCTCCCCTAGAACACATTTTCTTTTGCAAAAATGAAGCATTCCTATATTTACACGTGAAGAGCAAAAAAGAATCATTTAACAGCAACTACCCAAAGAAGTTCATACCACCAATGGTCAACAATCATTTCTTCCTTCATCTTTTGACGTTTTTCATCTGCTAATGGCTTCAAGCGAACAATCTGTCTTCTAGCTTGATCATATGATGGGTCAACTTCCAAAACCTTTGTCATATCTGCATATTGTAATGAACACCAGCATAGGAAACAATAAATTGTGAAAAGCCATATGGACTATATGAGAAGATTAATGAATGCCATTGGCTTTGCGTGTGTGTGTGCTTTTGTGTGTGTGAGAAAGAGAGAGAGACAGAGAGAGAGAGAGAGAGAGAGAGAGAGAACAAGCAAGATTGCAGCCATTACACATATAATAAAGCCACCACAAATCATAGATTAGTCTTCTTATAAGCACAAGTTTGTGCTAGAAGTTGTCAGCAGCTGCTCAATGACAGTAAAATATTCAAATTCTTACACCGACATACCTGCTATAGTCTCTTCAAATTGTTACAACTTTTCATACACCTCTGCTCTTCTTAGCAAAACACTTATGTAGTTAAGGTTTAGCTCCAATGCTTTTGTGCATTCTTTAATACCATCATCATATTTTTTTTCTGTAAAACAAACCACCAAAAAGAACTTCATCAAAATCCAGTCAAAAACTTACCAATGCATGACATATGTATAACAATGCATATAAATAATGATATCACATTAGGAGTTATTTGCCAATCAGCCAACAGGTATTAGCAACAGATAATGGAGGCTGCTGTAACGGCAACCACCACCAAGATGCTTAGTGAGGAGGCTAAGTGTATGGGTCCTCTCCAACACAGGGAAAAGAATGGGAAATGAATACTTTAATGGACAACAAATTATAGCTTTAGGAAAAATTCTAAATACTAAGATAAGTACCTTCTCTTCTCCAAAGATAAAGGATAAGTACATCTTGTTAATGGACAACAAATTATAGTTTTAGGAAAAATTCTAAATACTAAGATAAGTACCTTCGCTTCTCCAAAGATTAAGGATAAGCACATCTTGTCTACCCCTATGAGCTTAAGAGAATTGATATCCAAATTTGATAGTTCAAATCAAATTGAAAGGGATACAGCTCAGATTGATGAAAACAGATCTTCGAGGAACCTTATTTGGACAAAGCTAACAGACTTTCTTCCATGTTCACCATTGACACATTAAGGAGATTACATACAGATTAAGGCATAGCACGTTGCCATGGCCAACTTTCCTACTCGTCAAGATTCAAATCTATCAGCTGTCCAATGTAATTGGAACAATAATAAAAGCGAGGTCTATTTAGATCTGGCAAGAAGAGGTGTAGACAAAATGAGTATTAGCTGTTTATCACTATCAGAGCCAATATATCTTCTTTATAATAACTCAAATTCAGCCTTCATGTGACCATATCTAGATAACAATGTCACCAGTCAAGAAACTTCAAGGAAACCTATAATCATGTAAAGAGACTAAATTAAACATTCACAATTTTCACAACAATGCAGTTGCAATAATATCCACTTGTCTCTTTAACAAAAAAAAAAAAAAAGTCTTTGTTTCAGACATGAACTATGTACATGTTTTATTACAATATTATTTTTAGAATTTGCCTCAAGTTCCATCAAATGCTCTCGCAGAGAGAGTTTTTTATAACACAATCTTTATGTTTTACTACTCAGCCAAATGATACCCAAGATCAACCCATACTAATCAATTACAACATTCAAAACTGCATTCCAACTCATAGATATAGAGAAAGTTAAAGAGCAACTTTTCAAGAAATACATGCAAAAAGTACAATTTTGCCATGTATCAACTCAGCAAGATGAAAGCTTACCAGTTTATTTAACATGCAGCATGATTTGTATGGCATACTGACCGTAATTCAACAGATTTGGATATACTGGACACAGCTGGTAAAGCAATATCATACTTAGACAATGCCTCTTCATCTTGACCATCTTTAAACAATGTATTATCTTCAACTTTTGCACGTTGGCTTCTGTTAATGCTTTCTGCTCCAAAGAGAGATAGCTTAAGAGATGACAAGAACTTCTAACAAAAATACAGCTACAAGAGTTTATAAAAAGAACCAGGGCAAGAACAGGACAAGAGGATTCCCACGTGACTCCAGCTTGGATCTTCACCAAAAAATTCAGCTTCAACTTCTCTTTTGACTTTCATAATGTTTTCTGCAATGCTGACCACCCCCAAGATAAACAGCCCAATCAGATACATTCAAAGCTTTAACAGAAGTTTCAAAAATCATCCTTTTCTGGTGGCTAACTACACACATTTTCACAGTCCAAGACAGTCCACATGAAGAAGTTCAATAGCAAAAGAAAAGAGTCTTGATTCTTAACCGTGAATCACAATCAAGTAAACAACAGATATGCTAGTCTGGTAGATAATCTGCCAGATAAATAAAAGAACAAATTTCTGAACTATGCTTCTTCCTACCATGAACAGAATAGTTACTATCTAATCTAGCTAAAATAAAAAATCCAATCCTATTCAAGTGTACAACAGACGACATAAATTGTATACCACTTCACCTGAAAGTGACTGAGTTGTATCATACAATTTTCACAAGTATCAAGATTGATACTGGGACAAATGATCAATACTCATCTTAAATACACAAGATGTATTTAATGTAAAACCTATTTCGCCATTGTCAACACTTTGAAATATTTCAAACTCCAACCGAATATTTATTACTGAGAATAAAACAAAGGAACAATGTGGTAAGAATACTTCTCCCAACTGCAGCAGCTGGTCCCTGGTATATTGAATATGTTCCCTACCCCAAAGAGAGTGTCTCCAGTATACAATAGAAAATTAAGAACAGATTGGAAAAATCAGCTAGAGCAAAAATAGCCCAATGGAACAAGTAAGAATATGGACCTAACAAACAAGGGTGACGATTGAGTATTGAGTATTACATGATTATGCAATTAACAAAATGGTTGCTAAGTCCATTACAACCTAAAAACTAGGGCATTAAGTTGGTTTAACATTTCGACCGGAAAAAAATAAACATCACATATCATTATATATTCAACCAATGGTGCAGAAGTTCCATGCAACTGCCCCATTTTAAAATAGAAAATAATTCAAATGCATGCAGAGTCCTTTGCAAACTATCCTTGGATGCAAAAGTAAAAAAGTGAGATCACAGCTGTTCACCACCAAGTCGTAACGAAATCAAGTGCATACAGAGTGGCAGGTGGCGATTAGATAGACAGCACGGCGATCTCAATATTCATCATTATAAGGAAAACGAAAACCACAATTTTGAGGAGGCCAGGCCTCAAAAGGAGCATCATTTTTTACTCCTTAAAACAATCTACTGGAGCTTTCATGTATGTAGGGCAATTTATGGGCTACAAGATACTCGTTAAACACCCACCTGAAGCCTACTCATGTTATCTCCATATTTACAGCAGATACACATCTTAAATGCACTACCAAGAATTAGGAACATTTTAATCAGTTCCCTCACAGGCTCGGCAAGGGTAACTACATACAATGATATATCAATAGCAATACACGCTGTTGAGAAACAAAAGCTGTGTGGTTTTATCCAGCAAAGAAAGCAGAGGAATTACAGAGGGGCATACCATAATTAGCACCCCAAGAATGTTTTCAGAAAAGAATCGAGTACCCAAACCAAATTGTCTGAGGAGAAAACACTGATTTTGAGGAATGAAAAAAATAAGTTGACTTCATCAAGGAATCAATATCATCTTTCTCAAATCAAGACTATTCTCAAGCAAGAAGAGAAGCCAATAAGCTACATAAATGGCTTGCATCCCAGTGCTGCTGCAAAAATCAAGAATTTTTAATCACCTTAGAACTGTCATTTACGTATAAACACATCTTCAACTGTGCTAAAAGAAAGGTTCCATACACATAAATGAACAAGATTTCCATGATCCAACCACATTATCTGTTTTACTTGATACAGAGGCGAAAACACATGCTTCTTGGAAAACAAATTCCTTGCCGAACATAATGCACAAAACAACATCCTTGGAAAAAAATACCTTGCCTAACATAATGCAGAAAATGAAAAATGACATTCTTAAAAACAAATATCCTGCCAAACATTAAGCAGAAAACAAATTTCCACAAATACATTGTGCACATATCTATGTGATTATACATTTTTTCACACGTACAACTGGCCATGTTAATTTCCAATAACACAACTGCTACCATGTTTCCTGCACTAGTAAGTCCGCCAAACCTCAAAATTCAAAAATTTAACAATCAAAACCAGCAAGAACAAGACTCAAACTTCCATAATCAGCTGCAAAACTTTTTCTTAAAAATGCAAAACCAAAAAATTAGCACTAAACCCAAAACTAAACTAAAATCTACAAAACGAAATACAGAATCAGCACCAAACAGCTTCACTTACACACCAAACCATAAAAATCCCAAAGTTTTCTAATCTGTTCACCAAATTATCTAAGAACTAGGCATAAATTCATCAAAAATTTAACATACTAACTAAAACTCGATAAGCCCAGAAAAAACAAACGAAAAAACCAGTCCTTTTACATACCAAAAATCCAATCTTGAAGCAATGAACAGCTAGATAATTGAGGTAAACATGGACAGAAACCACAAAACCCAAGACCTGATGTGTAATTTTTAAACAGATGACAATTAGACATGAACGAGGAGAGTGGAACGGGCGCTGCCATGAGGCTGGAAAAAAGGATATTAGAAGAACTGGCATCGTTGTTATTGATTGAAGAGGGTTCAAAATGAGGACCAATCAGTCTGCTGCCACCTCAGCTTCCATCTCCAGGTCTATAGCTTATCACTGTCTGATCAGCCTGAACATCTCAATCAAAAGCAATCTTCGCCGTCCAAACTTTTTGAATAAAAAAGAT